TGGGAGAGAGATCCAATAGATCTACCATCTCAGGACCATAGTACTGGGGGATGCCAGACTCAACTGGCACAACAAAATACATAAAAGCCTTGCTCCACATCCTACATTGGTGAGTAGCGACTGGGATCTTAAAAGCTTCCAAGCAGCCATCTAAGATGCAGCTAATGGTCTCCTAGTGTCAGAAGTGAAGAAGAATTCAAAAAGCAAGGGCATTTGGAAGCAGTCAGCTTCCAAATCTTGAGAGCACGATGGTTCTCAAGACCAGAAGAACTAGATGGTGCCTGGCCACCAATGCCAACCATTCAGGAAAGGATCAAATCTGGAGATCCTAGATAGAATGAGAAGAAAGACATGGAACAAAATCCAAAACCTCAATAATGACCAGAATTACTGGTGTGATGAAGTCTGATGAGACCCCCAATACTATGGCCCTGGAATACATTCTGCGCCTGGGGTAGAATTCACTCCCAGGGTCTGGCTCTCAGCTCAATAGTTAACAAGATGTACACACAGACCACTCAACCCAGGATGACACACCCACATAATCTATGGTAATGCATCCCTTTGAGCAATAGACCATGGGGCACCAGAGGACCAACATTCAAATTGAGGAAATACAGGACAAACAGGAATGCATAAATATGAGGGCATGGGTGGAGGGTTACAGGGTAGGGAGGGGAGGAGATTGGGTTGGGGTTGGACATGGTGAGTGGGGAGTGAAACTAAATGTACACATAATGTTGAATGTAAAACAAGCTCTTCAAATAATTTTTTTAAAAAAATGATATAGACAAAGATTCTACGGTATAGTGGGAAAATACTTATGATATAATGTTATGTTCCATGCCAGAGACCTGAGTGTGATTCCCAGCCAATGCACATCATGGTCAGTCACCACCCATCTGTCAGTGGGGGCTTGCATGTTGCTAGGATGCTGAACAGGTTTCAGTGGAGTTTCCAGGCTAAGAAAATGTAGGAAGAAAGGCCTGGCAACCTATTGTTGAAAAATCAGCTAATGAAAAACTCTATGGATCACAATGGTTCGACTGTAACTGCTCAGGAGGATGGCACAGGACCAGGCAGCAGTTTTGTTCCCTTCTGTATGGCGTTGCCATGATCACAGTGGATAACAACAGCAATTAAGCAGAACAAAAAAACTGTAGATTCTATATAGCAAGCATCCACAAAAACATCTATTAAGAAAAGGAAAAGACTTCATGGAAACATTCCAAAACATTAACAGTTAATATACTTCAGTGTTGAAATTATGGGCATTTTTCTGCTTTTGTGTTCTCCATTTCTTCTTTGGTGAATGTTCATTATTTTTATAATAAAAAATAATTTTAAGCCTAAATATAGTTTTAAAAGGCAAGGAAGAGGTAGCAAAAGCAAATAGAACGCAATGTATCATCATAGCCAACTGTCTGCATTAGAATCCTGACTCCTCAACTTCCCAGCTATCTGAATTTGGGCAAGTTATTTAACCTTTACTTGCTCCATTTTCCCACCTGTAAAATGGGAGTGATAATAGTGTCTACCGAAATGGGTTGGTACAAGGATTAATGTGTAATTCTGTGGAATGCTTAGCACAGGGCCTAATACCTATTACTTGATTAGTGATATCACATCCAATACTCCAGTGGCCTTAAAAAAAGAGACCAAATAAGGAGAAAGGTAAGCAAACATCATGTCCTGATGCCTCAGGAACAAGTAGCTCAGAGTTGTTCTTTCAGTGGGCAATTTTCCCTCAGGCAGAATCAATCCCAATACCCTTTACTAATGTTTTTAAATTTTCCCCTGAAGATAGATAGCCTGTAGACACTCATTTTATGAGTAATTTCTGAATGTACTGGTCATAATTTATTGTGCAAGGTGCCTTTGGTTGTAAAAGCAAGTCTAATAATTAGGTTAACAGGATTGTCAAAAAACACTAATCATTGTTTTAAGATAAAATGACCTCATAAAATATGGTTTATGGTGCTAACACACAGTACTTCATTTGAAAATAAAAGAGCTATTTGATACAGTTATATTTTTCTGTCTAATGGCTTGTCTCAACAACAGTGAAATCAAGAGCTGCTCTCTTCTAACGCACCCCATGATCCTTCTTTCTGTGCAAATTACACCACCTAAATCAGCATCTGCCTGAGAACCAAGAACAGAAGGTAGGAAGAGTTAGGAAAGAAGGAGGAATGGAAGCAGGAAACACAGAGGGGAAGTGGGATGAGCAATGTTACATTGTGGAGATTGCATTACATGACATGAAACCAAATGTGTATGAGTTATTGAATGGAAAACTGATTTGCTTTGTAAACCTTCATCCAAATCACAATAAACAGTAAAAATAGATATATATTTATTTTAAAAAAAGATTTATTTACTTCAAAAAATAAAATAAAATCAGAGCTAAATAAATAAATAAATATGTGTAAAATAAAGTGGGTGATAATTAGCCTTACGTGTTGTCCAAAATTGTTTTTTAGTAAATATCTGTTGAAAAGGCACCTACTTCTGAAATTTTAGTTCTTATTGTTTGCCAATATTTATCTTTTATAAAGAATGAGAATTTAGTTACGATTGCATAATATTAAATCTTGAGCAATAAAGACAACCTAGGCAATTTAAAAAAAAAGTGGTTCTGGTGGTGCATTGGTTAAAGCATTCAGCTGCTAACCGAAAGGTTGAAGGTTCAAAGCCATCAGCCCCTCTGCAAGAAAAAAGATGACGCAGTCTGCTTCCGTAAAGATTTACAGACTTGGAAACCCTATGGGACAGTTCCACTCTGTCCTATAGGATCTCTACAAGTCGAATGGCTGTGGGTTTGGGTTTGGTTTTGGTTAGATGATGAAAAGGGATTAGGAAAACTCTTTTGCTGAGGAGTTGGACTCATAGTGGCCCTAAAGGACTGAGTAGCACTGGCCCACAGCCTTTCCAAGATTGTTAATCTTTACAGAAACAGACTACCACATCTTTCTCTGCCAGAGCAGCTGGTGGGTTCAAACTCTGACCTTTTGGTTAGTAGGCAAATGCCTTAACCATTGCACCACCAGAGCTCCTTGAAATTTTTGTCTCTAACTTCCTCTCTCTTCCAAAATGAGACATCAGATTTCCCTGATGTGAGTAAGAAAATTGTCTTTTGGCTTCCAATGGTTGTTTTCATCCTAATTTTTAATTTAAATTTTCTTAATCATTTGACCCTAGAAATTCTGTACTCAACATACTCTGCTTCTGTTCACCTTTAGTTTGGTTTTGGCAATCTTTCTCTTTCAACAGGCTCTGTTCTCTCCTTGGGAGCTCTGTTCCTGGGATCTTGGTAAAGTCTGAGCATTGACACCTCTTGGAGGAACTCAGCTCAGACAGAGGGACTGATCACTTAGTCCTTTCGGATCTAAGGAGGTAGGTATGTAGAGCCCAAACCAGGATTTCAACCTTTCTCTTTCAATAGGCTCTGTTCTCTCTCTGTATGGAGAATCTACCTACTTCATGTAGTGAAAAGGACTAGAACCCCAGAGGGGCACAGCCTTGTATTGAATCTTGCCAGGCACTGACTAGCTGTATCCTCTTCATTCAGTCACATAACCTCACTCAGTCTCAGGTTCTTGGTCTATAAAGTGGGCGTAATATATACATATCTTACAAGGTTAAAATTGGAGCTAAATGAGAAAATAGATGCTAATGATTGAGCATGGCAGGCAACTTAATAAAATGTTCCCTTCCCTCTTCTCGTTGTGAGTCTTTATTGGGATTTTGCAATCATTCTCCAAATTCTGATATCTCTTGGTATCCTTCCTGTCTTTGCTTCCCAGACCAAAGGCACCAAAAGAAAAAAAAAAAAAAAAAAAAAAAAAACCACTCACTGCCTGGGAGCAGGATCGACTCATAGCGACCCCTCTTTGGGTTTCAGAGGTGGTATCACTACAGAAGTAGATTGCCCAACCTGCCTTCCCAGGAGTGGCTGATGGGTTTGAATCGCCAGCCTTCTGTTTAGCAGTCAAATGCCTTAGGCACTACGCCACCAGAGCTCCCGACCAAAGGCATAGGTTTACCGAAATTGAGATTTTTAGTTTAGAAGAACAATGGAGCTCTTAGTTAACTGTGACCCCCTCACAATTCAAATCCAGGGGAACTGGAAAGGTAGATGAATTGGTGATGAGTTCCGGCTGTGTGGGCAGGCTCTGAGAAGGGAGGCCCTGGCTGAGGGGCGGGGAGGTGCTCCCATCACCTTCTCTTTTCCCAGGTCGGAGTCCTAGTCTGGGCTCTACCCACCTCCCTCCTTAGATTCGCAAGGATTAAGTTGATCAGTCCCTCTGTCTGAGTTGAGTTTCGTGCAAGAGTTGCCAGCACTCAGACTTTCCCAAGATCCCGGAATCAGGCTGTTCCCAGCCTGCAAGGGAAAGGCGAAGGAAGAAAAAGAAGGCGGGGGCTTGAGACCACAGGTAACAGTGAACTGCGCGGAGTCACAGAGGAGACAATCCCGGCTGATGTTGTTGTTATGTGCCGTGGAGTCAGCCCTGACTCATAGCGACCCCTCCTTGGGTTTCCGAGGCAGTATCACTACGGAAGTAGGATTGCCCAACCTTCCTTCCGAGGAGTGGCTGGTGGGTTTGAACCGCCAGCCTTCTGGTTAGCAGTCAAGTGCCTTAGCCTCTATGCTACCAGAGCTCCCATCCCGGCTGATAGTGCTGCCCAACTTGAGCTTTGAAGCTCGTCTCCCGCTCCGGCTTGGCCTCTTCCCCTGGAGTAGATGATTTGGAGCACGCCTGGGAGGTGCGCGGGCCCGGGGGAGTAAGGTGGCGTTTGCTGGGTGGCCGCTTCCGGACCTGCCAGCGTCCCGCGCCCACCCCGGCACCCGCCAGGTGCTCGCAGCGAGCCCCAGAGCCGCGCACTTCGCAGCTGCGATCGCTGCACCCTCCTCGCTCCCTGAGTGCGCGCCGCGCTCCTGGACGCCAGCATCTGGAGCCGGCAGTGCGGCTCGCTCCGCGTACTGAGGAAAGCTCTACCTGTGGAAGTAATGCGCACAGAAGAAGCCCAGGAGCACCGTCCCAGGCGTGCCGAAGAGAGAGGAAGGCTGCTGGGCGAGGATTCCCACGGGCACCACAAACGAAGGCAGCTCCTGCAGGAACCAGGCAGCGCGGGCCGGCAGGCGTGCACCCACCGGCAACAGACTCTCCGAGTACTTCCCATAGCCCGCGGGCTGGCCGAAGTACAGGACCACTACCCCCAGGGCGGCCAAAGAGGCGCTGCCTGCCAGCACAGGGTTCTGTTGGCACCCAAACAGCATCGTGCTGTGCTTGCTCTCCGCCGGTGGCTGCCACCCGCGCTGAGGAGATCACGGCCCTACAGCCCCTTTATGGAGCACAAGACACCACCCCTTGTCCGCCTCTTGGATCTTGGCTCCCGCCCCTCCATCCTACCTCCCACCTTGGCTCTGCCAGTCCTGCGGCGATGTCCCTTACGTATGGATGGCGCTTCAGGAGGTAGCCGGGGCAAAGGGGAAGATGAGAGCTGTCAGGTGCCAAAAACGAGTCCGAGTCCACATGCTTTCAACCAGCCCATACCCCCGCCTCCCCTTGCCACCCTGTGCCCCGCCTTCCACTGGTTCTCCCTCTTAGGATGCCTGTAGGTGACTTGTTTCTTGCACAATAGCCTTTGATGCTACAACTTCTGGCACTAAAACAGCAGGATACAACCACATTTAGATGCGGTTGTTCTTCCACAACAAGCGTTCCCTACAAAGTCGCCACGCAGCCCCCACCCTTGGAACCACCCCAAGTCAAGATCTCTCCACCCCTCCAATTTTCTTGCTCACCTCACTTACAGGAGCAGATTCCCCAATAAGGAAGGCAAGGACGAGTTTCCTTGTGCTTACTTGTTTATCTGTAGTGGACAGTTTCATATTTTTTCACCAGATCAAAGATGTGGTGAAACCCATATGAAACTTTACTACAGATTAATAAGTGAGCACAAGTAAGCCAATACTTACCTTACTTACTCCGTACTCCTTCCCTGTCAGGGATTGTAAACTTGAAGGGGGAAAAAAAAAAACTCACTGCCCTTGAGTAAGATGCGACTCATACCGACCCCTTCTTGGGTTTCCGAGGCAATATTACACTGGAAGTAGTTTGCCCCATCTTCCTTCTGAGAAACAGCAAAGAGGCTTTGACTTTGTAGGAAAATGCTGTGGGGTTGAGAGACACACCTAGAAGCAGAATCTTTGATGTAATGAAGAATGTGAAATTGTTCACTGCAGATTAGTAAGTAAGCACAGGTAGGTAACTTAGTGCTTACCTTGCTTATTGGGTAATGCAACATTGCTCCCTGCCCTCCCCCACCAAACCCTACATTTCTCTTACCACCCTCCGACAGCATCCTGGCGCTTCCAACATCAGCCAGCCCCTCTGCACTGGGTGGGCACATTCCTTGCCACTCAGTCTCAGAGCCAGCTCTGTTCCCCACAGCCTTTCCCCTGGCCCTAATTTCCTCCTTATCCCAGCGTGAGTCGGGGGACCCCCCGGCCTGGGTTAAAGAGCTCGTCGGCTGCGCTGAGCGCAAGCACACGGATTGGGGCCATCTGCAATAATGCTGTCAGTCTGCCTAGCCTCTCCTACCTCCAGGATCCCCGGAGCTGGCTCATACTGAGGCTGAAGTCTGAGTCTTCTCCGACTGGACCCCCTCTCCAAGGTCTTAAGCAGATGAGCCCACTTCCAAATGGCATTAAAGACATCACTGTGATCTGAACTTCTCTCCGACTCTGGAACGTACAGATGTGGTTCTTTCTCTTCCCTCTATTTGTCCCCCTCAGCACCCTCCACATGGAGCTCTGGTGGTATAGTGAGTAAGGGAGTTGACTGCTAACCAGAAGGTCCGCGTTTCAAGCCCACCAGCTGCTCCGTAGGAGAAAGATGAGGCAATCTACTTTGGTAAATATTTACAGCCTTGGAAACCCAATGTTGGTTGCTATGAGTCAAATTGACTCAGTGGCAGTGTTTTTGGCTGCCTCATTCTTATCCAGTTCATTTTCTATATCTTATCTTATCTGATCTAGACACCCTTGGCTGCTCTCCTCCTCTGTTTTTTGCACCTTCTTTCTCCCTCCCTTCTTCCTTTGACCTGTTTTCTTCTTTCCTGGTTGACCTTTTCTTCCTACCTGCTGTCTTCCTCCCTCTTCCACCTCACTTTCTTGTCCTGCAGTCCTTGATAATTTTATCCCTCTTAATTTTCTCCTCTGGTTTGCACTTCAGATTCACTGTTCTCTCCCAGCAGGGGCTCCTTTGGCACTTTCTTCATCCTTTCCCCTTAGTTTCAACTTACTGCCTCTCAGGAATCCAACTCGGTATTTTCCCATTCACTCCTGCCCTGTCATAACGCTGTTTAATGAAAGACATTCCACCATCTACTCTAGTTTGGAGACATTTCCAGGCTTCTGAGACACATGGGGTGTTTATGGTGATGCTTTAGTGCTACCAGGCATCTATTGCTTGCTGACCAAGAGGTATTTATCATATTCCTATTCCATTAAAAATTAAGTGGTAATCATGTTTCAGTTTTTAATTGATCACTACATAATTTTCACTCACATAGACTGAAGCATTTTTTCACAGAATCACAAGGTATTAGCCAGCACAGTGCATCATGCTATTTTTACTTGGCCTTACCTTGCAAGAAGGTGCCCTGGTGATGCAGTGGTTAAGCATGTAGCTACTAACTGAAAGGTCATTCCAACCTCCCAGCGGTTCTGTGGGAGAAAATTGTGGCAATCTGCTTCCATATAGTTTACAGCCTTGGAAAATCTATGGTTCTACTCCAAACTAATGGGTTACTATGAGTCAGAATTGACTTGTTGGTAATGAATTTTTTCAGTTAACTTGCAAGTTCAGTCTCAACATCTTCAGTTACACTTTGCTTGTGGGGGATGCCCAAATCTGGATCTACATCCCAAACTTGTGCTTCATATCTGCACTTTCTCCCTACTGGACATTTTCACTTGTGTGCCTTCAAAGACCTTAAACTCAAACCTACCCAAAACTGAACCCATTTTTCTTCCCCTCCACTCTACCCACACTCAAATCCCCCTTCTGTGTTCCTGTGTTATTACCTATTCTCTTAATAGTCATAAGCCCCTGAGAAGCTTGCTTATAGACTCTTAGGACACTATAGATTACATGATGCTATCTGGCATCAAGAGAACAAGCGGTGAGAAACTTCAAAGCCAGCGAATGAAATAACTTTTAATGAAATTTCTCCCATCTCAATACCTTCATCTCCTTCCTTCTAACTTTGCCAGATTTTGTCCTTGTCTTAGTTTCCTAGTACTGCTGTAATGAAAACCCACAAGTGAGAGTGGCTTTAAAGAAAAGGAATTTTTTTTTTTTTTTTTTACATGAGTCTGAGTTAAGGACATCAGCAGGGCTGGGCTCTCTCTGGGCTCTAGGAAAAGATCTTTGTCTCTTTTTGTTTCTGTAGCCCCAGGCATTTCTTGCCATTCTTTGCCTGCTTGTGATGTACCTTCATATGACATCTGTCTTCCCCTGTGTCTGTCTCTATTTTGAACTTTTTATAAGAGACCACTCAGAAAGGATTATTAGGACCACCCTAATCTTGTATCATTGACATAACAATAGAAAATCCCTATTTCCACATAGGGTAATACTTACCACACAGAAGTTAGGATTTCGGTATAATGTTTTTGGAGACACAATTCAATCCATAACAATTCTCATTATATTTTTTCCACTCTTGTGTCAGTTAGCTCTTGGTGTTTGACAAATCACTTTAAAAGTCAATGGTTTAGAATGCCGGTAAAATGGCGGACTAGGGAGAAAGACTGAACAGACCCTCTTCAAAAAGGAAAAGGGACACCAATTAACACAGACACAGAAGATAATCCTGGACCCCTGAGCCTTAAAGGGAAGGCTATAGAAGTGAACTAAACCCCAATTAGCCAAAGAATTTGCATAAAAATATCAAAAAAGGAGACAGATGGAGCTATGGTCTGGCAGCAATCCTGAGCAATCCTGATGGCACAGCACAGACACCTTTGAGAGTGCCAAGTGGTGGTAAGACCTAAGAATTAACCTAAACGTCAACCCTACTAGCCAGGGACTGCTTGGAGGACTGCTCTGGTGGCTGGGGAATAAACAGAGAAGGTAAAGAGAAACACAGGCTGAGTTGTGGACTTTTGCCTGTCTGGAGGACGCTGCCATTTTGAATTTTCACAAGCAGGCTGACCGTTTTGGATATTTAAAGAGACAGCACTCTCCCAGATTCCAGGGGCTTAAGAACAGGTTCTGCTTGCCAGAAACCCCGAGGACACTCAGGACCAACAAGACAGAAAAGGTGCGACATTCCCCTTGTTACTCTAATACCCCACAGCCACTTGGTGAAAGGAGGTCGGGCCATTCCCCACTCCCACCTAACTTGTGGGCCCAAAGGGACTCCATCACTATCTGTGTGCTCAGACAGAGTCAGGGTGCCCTGCCCTGTCCTCCACCGATTTTTTTCTCTTTTTTTATTTAATTTTCTTTTTCTTTTTCTTTTTTTCCTTTCTTTTTTCTGGTGATTAGTTTGCTTGTATTTGTCTGTGTTTAAACAACTATTATTATTAATACTTTTGTCCTTTTCACTATTATTCTTATTCTTCCCCTCCCAGGTCCTAGTTTTCAATTTTTTTTCTTTTGCCTGTTCCTGGTTGAAATTTTTTTTTTTTTAATTCACGTTTCCCCCCTTTTTTCTTGTGGTTAACCCTGTTCCTTGTTTTTCTTTTTGCATTTTTCTGATTTTTTTTTTTTCATTATTCTCCTTACTACCTTTTTTCTCTTAGTGCCCTATCCCCAGATATTGCAGGTTTTCTTGTTTTTTTCTTCTTCTTTTTCTGGTTACTATTCTTGTGTAATTAAATGGTGTATTTTTTGTCCATGTGCTTTTAGTTTTTTGATCATTATCCAATTGTAATTTTTATCTCACTGAGTGGGAGACAACAACAATCCCCATAAGACACAAATACACCCACACCTCCTGCAACTTCACTTACTGAATGAGAGTGATTTCCTTCTTCTCCATCAACAGGCCAATGATAAAAAACCACCAGGAGGAGCTTAAATCACCCCAGGCTGCTCTTCACAAACACTTAACAGAGATCTAAATACAACAACACCATGATGCCTCGGAGACAACAGACCATCACAGTCCACACAAAGAAGAAGGATAAAGTGGTAGAAACAAGGGAGCAGGATACAGA